ATGCTGATTTATCGCACTGCAGTGTGAATAGGCCTGTCTAAGGACAGTGCACTACATTTCAGATGCCAGCAATTGTGAATTTTTGTTAACATCATTTAAGTGATTAAATGTCTTCAAACTGAAAGACTTTCTTTTAAAACTTTTAATTTGAAACTGAATTAATTTATACTAAAAATTACAGCTTGGAAAAACTCAAAGTAAAAATGAAGTGTATTTTTGGATTTACCGAAAGAAGACATTTTGATTAACCTGTATTTTTGTACAATTTTCACTTGTATTTTACCACAGCGTGTGGGGAAAAAAAACCCTGAAATTTTGAGAAACTCTCCAGAGCAGGGTTCCTACTTACCTCTTAGCTCTAAGACGAGGGACCTGGCCTCAGGAATCACACAGGGTAAAAAGCATTGTCCAGAATTCAGAATTCAAGTTTGCTATACACAAACCTGGTGACATTTTTATTACAGCATACCAGCCTAGAATCTACATTTAAAACACTGACTGCTCAACGGAATCTAAATCTCCTTAGCTAAAGGCAATAAAATCAGGTCAAGAATTCACTACTCAACAATCTACCATTAGCATTTCTGTTCAGAGAAAATGCAGTTCATGTTTTTGAAGAGAGTAAAGCCAGGCCATATAGCGTAAGTTTGGAAAGTATAAAGATTTGCTTGTGTATGAAAGTCCGTTAGGTAACGAGTTTTATTTCCTCATAAAGAGATTCCAGTGAATCTGCATCATGATTTTTTTACAGTACACACAGTATTTCCGCAAAGCCCAGAGGTGGGACTGCACTTCTATATCCGTAACCCATGCTTGATTTCAGCTAGGCAGCTCGGCCACCGCTAGCAATGTAATCACAACAGCAGAGAGCGCAAACGATCTGAGCTTTTAACCTGTTTTCAGACAATTCTTTTCAATCCTGATGAGCTGTGTGTTCCCAGGGCCATGCCGTTGCCAGCTGCCAAAGCTGGCCAAAGTCACCTGTGACACACCTGCACGAGCCGAGGTTACAACTAAGCTTAAGCATCCAGCTAAGCTCTGCTGGAGAACTAAGCCATCACTTGAATTCACCATAATTTGTCACACGGGTACCTAGGGACATCTCTAATTGATTTCTCTGGCCAGGACCTCTTAAACAGTACGTTTCTTTCAGATATCTCAAATTGGGTAAGTCATTAGTTGGGGGGGGGGGCTTGTTTGTGATTTTTTTTTTTCCCCCCAAATCTCTGAGTTAGCACCTCTAAGAATTCATCAACTGATGCAGATTCCCTCCTTTGAGGTATATCACAGTGCTATTGAGAATAAAGTAGTATGGCCAGTTGATGCTGGCCATAAAAGAGAGAAAGGTTTGCTTTCAGTTGTCAGTGTGGCAACATATTTTTTATTCAGTTTGTTTGGATTCTTAATGGTGGAAGCAGAATTTAATTTGTACTAGAGCATCCTTTAAAATAAATGCTTGATCTCTTCCCACCCACCATTACAGCTGATGGGTACAAAATAAAAAGAACAGCAATTCATTCATCTTCTCACTGGAGCATCAGAGGAAGAGAGAGATCCTTAGTGATCCTTAGTGATTGATGACTCGCTATAAAAAGATGCATCGTAAACTCCTTGTATTGGGTCAAATCATAAACTAGGCTTTTATTTTTTATATGATCCCTTTCTAAATAATTAAGTGTGTCTGTAGCTCCCATTAGGAAGGGAACTTACATGACGCTTGCAAACCATGCAGTTTCTTACAGGGTCATAATTTGGGACCCTCATTTAAAGAGATCCCTCTCTTTCTCTACATTTAAGCATTGCTTGAATTTCTCTTGCTATTGGGGCATCTCTCTGTACTACAGGTCAGAGAGACCATTTGATGTCCACGAGCAGCAAAGATGAACATGACCTACCCTGAGTTTAGGGTGTCTTCTTCAGGCACAGACACATCCACGGCTTTGCTGCAGGGGAAAGTACCGTTATTTTTCTTTATCTCTGCCTCCAGGTTGGGAAAAGGACAGCTGAACCACAGCCGAAATGAAAACAGGGCTCTCTACCACTGACTGGATCCATGTGGACACAAGAAGGCAGAGCAGTGGCGTGGTGCTTGCCTAACAAGCCAAGCTGCCTGTGCGTCTGCAGAGCACCTTATCCCCACAGGAGTCAGCCATGGTTTGACTTTGCAAATTCCTGGCCAAAATCATTTTTTAGGTGCTCACAGACAATTCCCATCAGCTTCAGTAGCTGGCTGGTGAACACGAAGAGAACAGCACTGTTTGCCCATAACAGAATTCAGTCCTGTATTTATCCATCTTGCGTTGAAACTGTCATCTTTGAAGACTATAGTACAAGATGACATTATATGAGTGTCCACCTATTTCCTTACTATCACAAGCCTGCAGTCATGTCCGTCTCCCTTTCATTTCCCAAACAGCTGGTGCTCAACCAAACCAGAATCTCCCCAGCTTGGCCAACAGACATTGGCCTCACTGCAAAGCTACCCCATTAGGAGAATGTCGCAGCTCTAACCAACACGAAGTTTTCACAAAAAATAATATCAGTTAAAAAAAGAGCTGCAGACCCCTAAATATTTTCAGCAGATGTGGTAGCCCCAGTCAGTTTATGCACTGCTTACTCAATACCGAAAATCACTTAGGTTACTTATTCAAATATTTCCATCTACTGAATTTAGAAAAGAGAAAAGCCAATAGTGGAATACCCAAGATGATGATTTTTTAATAAACAATAGATTTAAGGGGGATTAGCAGGGTTATCAAACAGCATCCTCCCAAATCAGCTCATTAGTTTTGCTGACTTTCCCTATTTCACTTTATTAAAACAATTTAAATGAGTGTTCATTAGATGCAATGTAATCTAATTCAGACGCTCCAAGCCTAATCCCTTTCCTTTTAGCAGTAACATGATAAAAGTTTGCAAAAAAGTTTAAAGGATTATCGTTACAGCTATTTTAAACAGGGACTGTTTTCAGCCAAACGCATGCCACCACTTCCCCACCATTTTATTATTTATTATTATATTATTTCTTGCTCTTTACTCATTCATCCGTTTATTCCTTCCCTTTTCTGTCTTTCGTTGCTCCACACAAGCAGAGTCGCCCATGGGCAGGTGTAGGGGATACGCCAAATGGCCCCCCGTGGGTCAGCGCACCAGGCCTCGGGAAAGGAAGGACTTTTTGCAACTTACTTTGAGATTCTGGAGTGAAGAAAAAAACTTTGTAAATTCACAGAGATTTTATAAATATCCTACAGGGAAGGGAGAAGGTTCCTGTGCATTTTCACGCTGCTAGTTTCTGACAGCTCTGAAAGACGCACAGGAGGGGATCACGCATAGGACTTGCAAATTAGGAAGCAGACACTGTCTATTACTTACCATGCTAGATCCAGGCTGAAAACAGGGAGTAACAGATCCATGCTATGGACATACAGCTTATTTCAGAATGAACTCGCTCATAGTCCTGTATTTCCATAAAGCCTTGTCCAGTCTGTAGAGCTAATTATTCTTTATAGGGCAAAAAAACCCAAAGCAAAAAAAAAAAAACCAACCCCAAAGAATGAGAGCTGGTTTCTAGATCCTAGGTTTCTACAGACTTTAACAGGTTCCCTACCCCTGAAAACCTGTTCTTGCTCACTTCAAATCCTTGTCTCTGCAAGCAAGTGCCATTTCATAATCCTATTAAAACCTTTGCCTCTGTTTCCCAGGAGCCCTAATCGTACTTAGCAAGTTCTTCTCGTCTAAGGAAGAGCGACAGCTTTCAGATTTCTTAGGAGGCTTATTCATCAGCTATGCCAGAGTTTTGCCAGAGCGTTCAATCTATTCTGGGAGCAGCCATGTGGAAAAAGTTTCAAACAGCTCAAAGCCCTGCACAATGATAAAGGAAAGCTCACACAATCCTGGTAATAGCCTGACCCTCTTAAGGAAAATTGGATGATTTGTGGTAGCAGTTTTTCCGTCCCCTATGTGAATTCTGAACCTTAAAGTACAAGCAGTGTATTCACACAGTCCCATTACAAACCCTACCCCTCTTGCGATGCTGGAATAATAAATACACACCCATAAGTGAAAATAAACTCTTGCTGCGATGACCTTCTTCCTCAGCCCACTAGTGTGAAGGAGTTTGTAGCCATTTTAGAAAAAAAGAGTCAGATAAAGAATGGACTAATTTGATGTTCAGTGTTTCACCATGAGCAGAATATATGCTTTAATGAGCATATTACATGCACCAGGGACGTGTTACTGTGAAGCAGGGAATAAAGAATAAGGGGAAAATAATTAAACGGGCAGCTTTATAATGAGGGAACTGTGTTCATGCAACATTAAGTGGCTTAATTTTCAAATGCTAAGCAAAGACATGTTCCTTGGACTTCAGAAGGACTTGCTGGCAAGCACCACCTTGAAAACAAGGGCAAAGGATCACAAGTATCAAACCTCCCATAGGTCCAGAAGCACAGGGTGGAGTGATGCTGTCCCGAAGTCATCGGTCCACCCTTTGCACTGACCTGTCCGACAGGATCAAACACCTGCACCCTGTAGTTCTTATTCTCTAAGGAGGACCCTTAAAGCTTTAAAATGCCACAGCATTCATCATGCATGGTTGTAGAACATTACAACTGACTTCTACCAGCCTGTCCTTAGTTTTCTGTTGGCACTGCATCTTCTAGGCCACAAGCATACAGCATCACCTAGGTGCAACGAGCACATGAAGACTTAGTGTAGCTGTTTGCACAAGCAGAGCTACTGGGAAAGGGCAAAATCTGTCTCACTGGGTTCAGATACTGACAGAATGAACCAATAAACCATATTTCTGACTGTTATCAGTTCTCTCAAGGCCAGCAAGGCCAGGAACATTCATTTACCGGGACTGTCAGTTCCAGATAGCGTTGCAATATCAATTACTTCAGCGTAATAGCCTACCAGTCAGACAGCAATTCTGTTGGGCCACAGGCTCCCCGGCCTTCTTTGCAAATGGACATGACACAAGTCTCTTCTTTGTTACTCACCCTCATGCCTAGTTCAATGTTTTCTCCTCCATAGACCTCCATACCAGGGTCAAGCAAGCCAATCTCACCAAAATACTCTCGGTCCACTACAAACGAGCATCCAATCATGGCTGGTGTCCTGCAGAGAGAGATTAAAGCAAAAAAATTAAGTCATTTATTAGCTACAACAGGACCCCCCTCATAACAAATTTACGCAGACAAAACAGTTCTTAGTCTTCAAGTTTACATTTTAAACTTATCTATTAGTGTGCAATCACATTGCACTTCATCCCCCAACGGACAGAGGACCTTGTGGGACCAGAGCCTCCCAAATAACTTCCACGCTGGCAGACACACCTGGACCAGCTGTCTGTGAGACAGACACAAGATGTGAAGTCAAGTACTCCATGCATGTAAGTGAGGCATCAGGCTGTTTCTCCTTTGTTTTATAGACACAACCTCTGTGTTGGGGGTGAGGTTCACCACCACACAGAGTAGCACAAGAACTAGACAACACTTTCTTTGAAGATTAATACACAAAAAAACCCCCATAAGCTTTGTTGGAAATGAGGAGTCCCCTTACCCTTATATTAAAAGTAAGTGCATGTCGAGAGCTGTGGATCAATCATGGTGTGAAGTTTGGCAAAGGACTTCCTGGAGTCAACGCTAGCACATAAATTTCAACCTTTGTGAAGCTGTTCCATGATTCATATTTCTATGTTTGCTGAGGTCAGTCTTTAGAAAAGGAAAAATTTTCAGATGAAGAGACTCTGCCCTCAGATCTGCCACTGACCAACTGGGTGCTTTCAGATAAATCATTTCCCTTCTCTGAGCATCAATTTCTTTACGTATAAAACTATGGTTCTGCTCTCCTTTACAAAGCAATTGGAAACCTGTCACTGAGCAGCACTACATGAAACAAATTTTGAGATCATTTACCATATGAACACAAGCATTATTTCAATGCAGTACAAGCTAGTGACATTTTCTAGTTTCATTTGTCCACACTTTCTTTGCACCTCTGCACTGGGCACAACACCACCTCTTTAAAATTCAAGGTAGGAGCTAGGTTTTGCTACTATAGCCCAGAATTTAAAAATGTGAACTTGACTAACTTTAAGCTGGAGAAACAGCAAGAGCCTGCAACTCCACGTTGGACTTGCAATTCAGCTGCAGGCTGCGTAGTGCCTACTGCAAGGTCATGGGTAGTCACCCTGCAGTCTGAGCTACAGGACGTGCCCAGGCCCTGGGGAAAGGCCCCCCCATTTTAGTGGGAGCCCGGCAGACCAGACTGCTGAATCAGGGAAACTGGAAAATCATTTCAGAAGCTGAACATTTTTGGAGCTGACCTAGAAGAATGAGCTGTGCTCCCTCTTCCATTGAAAGGGAGGCGATTTTGGACCATCTGGCAGATACAACATCATTCCTAACATTGCTATTGTAAAAAGACATCAGGAAAATTCTAGTTTATGCCAATTTTCTATTTTTTAGTAGAACAGAGAACGTTCTGCCTATGGCGCAAGCTTATGTATATACACCATGAAAATGCCCTATAGAAACAAAGATGACGGAAAAGGTCTAAAACCTATTTTAAGAAGCCTCCTTTATAGCAATGCCCTAATGTTATACAGTCACTATGAAGTCTCTCTTGTCCCAGATGCCTGCATGGTTCTTCAATTTGTACAGAAAGCTATTCACAAAGCATTTGCCCATGACATCTAAGAAACATATTCATGAGGCAGTTTCATACACACATGAAAAACTGCCCTGGCCGGGAAAATGAACACGGTTTTTTACCCATGTATTGGTGGATCCCACCGGTAGCAGCAGTGGCTGTGGAATGGTGTTATCCCATCACGTCCTTTTTCTCATCAGCAGTTCACCATTTCTACAGCAGGAGGTTAAAAAGGCTTCAAACAAATGGCCAAGATATGGTTGGATAAAACAATTTTTTGCTCCTGGGCCTAATGCATATCCCGACATTGCAGAACACAGTCCAACCTATGGCAGGAACTATTTGGTACCCTTGAAAAGGTTCATTTGCTGCAGCGCTGCTATTACTTATCTGTAATGGACTCTGCTGTAGCGCTCACATTACTGGTAACGCTTCAGCATCTCTCCCTTGCACTTTTTCTCAGTTTGAAAGCCATTGCAACCTCTCAGATCATTACAAGCCTATACTGCAGCGCACACTATCCCTCTCATGTTTTCTCTGCATAATTGAAAAAGGCAGCTGTTGATAGAAACGCGTTTGATGGGCGCTGTTTCTGACCAAGAAGTTGAAATGGCTTGATTAACTCTCACGTTCTACCTTACAGACTGGATGCATTCCCTGGATCATAAGCTGAGGGGACAAGATTCAACAGCGGTTACAAAGGCAAACAGCTGGCTTTCACGGATTGCTTTGGACTGAAGTGGGGCTCTCAGCCAGACCCCTGCACCCATTCAGTCAAATTCACCCACTCAGAGGAAACTGAGGCCAGATATCACAAACCCTACAAAGAACCGGCAGCAGGGTCCCCACCAGCACCCCCAGTGCTCGGACCTCTCCCGCACCCCACAGGCCCCCTCTGGTGTGTGCAAGAAATTCCAGCACTTCTCTGTGTGGTGCTGTTACTTGTGAAGACTTTCTGTTGAATCAATCTCTAGTTAGAAGTGGTCTCAGAGCTCTATGAAAACCACACGTGGTCCTGGGTACTCCTGGCTGGACACAGCCATCTTCTGTTGATGCATACACTTACACACCAGGATCTTTGCAAGATGGATGGCATTTATAAATTCAAGTTATTTGGTAAAATGCATCTTCTATAGTTCCTAGAGCTATGCCTGAAGACAGACTTGCCTAAAAAGGCTGAGAGCTCTCCTGCACACAGGACCAGACATAGCCTACGTATATCCCACTACCACATCCTGCATCACTGAAAACCATGTTTTGGGCTACCAAGGAATAAATTTGGTCTAGAAACTGAAATAAAAGAAGGACACGACCAAGGAAAGGGAATTCAGTAGCTCTGAAATGAAATAAGCCCTCGAGGGAATATTTAGGTATTTCTTAAGTGTTAACCATGATATAAAAGGGAAGGAGGTGGGGGGTAGAAACACACGCCACTTTCTTCATTTTCCTTTTTATGTATTTAAAGCTAAACACAGGCTTCACTGGATGAAGGCTAGAGCATCACTGCTTTGCAAAACTGAGCTGCTAGTTTGGGCTGAGAGTCACTCTCTTTCCAGCCCCCCCCAAACATCCTCTGGAGGCAGCTCCTTGCAGCGGTAGGATGCTCCCATAGGGACATTCCTCCTCCCTTCCTAATGAGGAACGGCACCGCTCTGCTTTGCAGCCTGCTCTCAGGTGCTGGAGTCTCTCTCTCTCTGGGGGATGGATTTTTGCAGCTGTTGGCTCTGTCCATTAAAACACTGACTTGTTAATTGAATGGGGGTGGGAAATATGTTTCAGATGCAACTACATTATCATCACTCACAGACGAACACCACTGAGGACTGCCTTTGCAACTCCCTCTCTCTCTTCCAGGTTTTATTTCTTCTCATTAGATATATTCGAATGCAGACTCCACAAGCCTTCATGGCTTATTCAGAAAAAAAATGTTTTCAGGAATGAGCAACAATAGCAGTGCAATGGCAGAAGGAACCACACCCAGCTCTGCCCCGGCCGCATCCTGACGCGATGGAAGAACTTGCCTACCATGCACAATGTTGAATTTTCTGCATTCTGCATGTTCAACACTTCCATCAGGTTCAACCCTTCCATCAGGTTCAACCAGAGTTTTGGGCATTCAGTCCTCATCAAGCCCAGGCCTTTAACTTCCCTGTGCTTTGACTGACCCAATTGTAAACTAAGTGTAATGCGATTGCACAGCCCAGTGAGCCGGCAGCCGTGCTGTGAGCCGCGGGACCCTGACTCTATTCCCAGCTCTGTCATTCATCTGGTCTTCAGTGAGTCACCTCCCTCTGCCTCTGTTTTTCCATCTGTGAAGCACACATCATAACACTGGGTAAACGTCTGAGAACTGCTTCAGGAGCTTGAAAGCCTAAGATTCACTTCTAAAAGCACTGTAAGCATACAGGGGGATAATTTTATACCGGACTACAGTCTTATAGCGACATATTGCAAACACTTTTAAAAAAACCTGCCCCCAGAAAAGCATGAGACCCTCACTTGGATGTCATCACTGGGTTTTTCCAGTCCCTGAAAAACTCCAGTATATCTACTACTTTTAGTAGAGTGCAGCAAAGACTTCCTTTGAAAGTCAGAAATGGCTATAGAAGCAAAAGCTGCTTTTGCACGTCTTAAACACTGCTCACTAGCAAATGAGAAGGTGTATGCCCTTAGCACTTCACAGCTTCAGAGTAAAATATATTAACCTAAACCACACCTGCTTTATATAAAAGGACCTTTTTCCTGAAGTCATGCCCTTTCTAGTAAAACAGTGACATTTTTAGAAGGAAGGTATCACAAAATAGCAATTAGAGGTGTATTATTTTTTACCAACACCTCAAAGGTGTTGGGAAACTTATTTGATCTGTGGAATAGTCTTTGACACAACCGAGGATGTTATAAGCATTAATTATAATCAACAGCAGCACTCAAAGAATAATGTGGGAAAGACAGCAAAATGTTTTTTGCAGCTAAAACCTTAAAATACAGCATAGAATAGTATTGATTCTGCATAGGAGAAAGATACGGCATAGTCAATTTGTGGAAATTGCCTGACAGCATGGCTGTAGCAAGGGAGATACGAGAGAGACGTTACTCTGGGCAGCACCCTGGGGCAAGGGCAGAAGCAGAGAGCAGCGCTCCGTGGTGGCAAACCCTCCCCGCCTGCCCGCCTGGGAGGCAGCAGGTACGGCGCGGGTGGCGATGAGGGAAGAGAGGCACGGTACGGGAGAGGGCAGTGCTTGCATGGGATGGGGTGCCAGAAACAGAGGATGCGCTGGCCAGAAACGAAAGCCACTTGCTGTAGGTCTGAGTCACGACTATTTCGTTTTAGCGAGATCTCCGGGAGCACGGCTCTGTTGGCAAAACTCCAGCAGGCACTGATACCCGTTTCTCCTGCCAGGTGCATCCCCCTCCTTCCCTTTACAGACAACTGAAGGATGCTGCCTGGGGGCTTCGTCGAGAAC